TTCTACTTATATGAGATACCTAGAGTAGTCAAATTCACAGAAACAGCAAGTAGAAAGGCAGCTGCCAGGGGCCAGGAGCAGTTCTGGAGCTTGGATTTACAACAGTGTTAATGTGCTACTGAACACTACTGAACTGTACACTTAAAATGGTTAAGATTGTATATTTACGCTATGTGTATCTTGCCAAATTTTTAAAAAATATATAAATAACAATTTGTAGAAATAATATTTCATGTCTCTAGAGTCTATTCTTGAGTTCATTAATTTTAATACATAATGATAAATAAATTTACAGAGCATACTTAAAGAAACCATGATTTTAAGACATATGGAGAAAATAAAGAAAGCTAAGTTAATTAAATTGAGATACATCACATCACTTCATATATGCCACAGATTCTTTAAAACACCATCTCTGGCTGTGAGTCGATAATTGTGGGAGCTAGGTGATGGGTACATGGGAATTCATTATATTATTCTCTTTACTTTTGTGTGCTTGAAATGTATCATTATAATACATTTAAAAATAAAGATAACTGTGCAAATAAACAAGGTATGAAATTCAGCAGAGCAGCAAAAATGATGAGAAAGGCCATGGTGGGCTTTATACTCAGATAGTGTTGAAAGATTCAATAAGGTAAAATATAGAGATATTTTAGGATCTATTTTAAAAATATGAATTTGATGTAATTAGCATAAATGGTGACGGGTTTTAAGAAAAGCAATGTGAACTAACCAGAGGAAAAAGCTACTGAAAAAAAGGAATCATAAAATCAGTTTAAATTTATACTCTGAATAAAATAAAATTTAAAAATTTTACTCTATATAAATTAGGAAACAAGCCCTTTCAATAAGCAGTTCCTAAGCTGTAATGGAGGTAATCAAAATATTGCTGGCGTGTTGCTACGTATATTTCGAAATATAATCAAGTAGGTTTAACTGAAGAGATAAGAGAGGGGAGAGGCTCTTTAATTCTTCTTTGAAAATAACATACAAAATAATCTAGTGTTAATTGTATAAAATATAATTTCAAGAAAGCAGGGTATTTTGTTTTCAGTATCTGAATATTCTCTCTTCCTGTTTCTGCTACACAAATGTGAGAGAAGGAAGTTGAAAACCTATGGGAAATTATTTTATCAATAACTTGTGAAAGGTGGAATCACAGAACTGAGAACTGAGATCCTAAACTATAATAAAACACACACAAAGAAAAATTCTAGAAAGCAAGTTAGCTGGAAGTTTTAATGTTGCACAAATCCCAGAAAGGGTCTGCTGAACCCAAAAAAAGGCTAAGAACATTTCTAATTATGAATAAAGTTCAGGGAATAAGAGTAAATTGTGGTGAGACAGAAGAAAAGGAAGCATACACATAACATACAAAAAGTAGAGAGAACAATACCAAAATCAAACCCATATACACATGACCCACATTCAATACATATGAAGATTTTGCCACATCCATCACTGTTTTTCGTTTGCATGGTCGGTTTTGTTTCAGCTTGCTAAACTCCTTGTTATCACTTTATACCTTAGTCCGCAATCAAATATCCCCAATTATCTCAAAAAAAAGGTCTTTTACAGTTGATTTATTTAAGTCAGGATCCAAATAAGGTTCACATATTACATTAGGGTATGTCTCTTGAATTTCTTTTAATCTAGAGTCATGCTAAGTGGTTTGAATTGGTGCCATTTCGAGAAATAATTGTTACCAATCCAAAAACTGTTTGTTACTAGACCTCGAACTCTTTGTTACAGGTCAACAGGATAAGTACAGAAAAGGAAAGTGAGCACTTAGAAATGTTCCTAGCAAGCTGACACTGTCAAGACATCCAAGTGCAGGAAGAGTGAACTCATTTCATTGAGCCAGCTAGTGGGCAGACTCCAGCTGTGAGCCACACATGCCCTGAGCTGCACACTAGCCATGTGCACTGGGACCACTGACTGATTGCTGCCTGGATAGGATATTTAAAAAACAAAAATAAAAACAAAAACCTAGTGCTTAATCCGAGATAGTCTGAGACACAGTCCTTCTCCTCACTTCTTTATCCTACCTTTTCGAAGAAATTCGGTTTGTTGTCATTTTGATTTCTGGATTTTTCTGTTTGCTTCCTATAGTGTCAATTAACTTGGTCTTCTATCACCTGATTTCCTATCATTGATTCTATTCAGGTTCAACTTTTGGGCCACAAATACTTCACAGGTGGTACCCTGTGATTCATGTTGTAAGACTTCTGAAAATATTTAATATCTGGTTTCCCTATTTTTGCTAATGCCAAGATTGATTACCAGGCTCAGGTGATAATAGCTCAATCTCTCCTTTGTAAATTCTCCATCAACCTTTTATCTAATAGTTTCATCCACAGTTATGGTTGCCTAACTCATTTCATTAGGGGTTGAAAAAGGCGATCTTCTAATTCTATCATCCTTTCTATGTTTATTAGATAAAAATGTGACGTGGGGAGACTTCTCCTCATCAAATGAGGCTATTTGAAATATAGTTCATATAGGAAAGATAAGATAGATATTTATTTCTTTCCTTCTGATTACCAATTTTCAAACCAAGGACTTGATGTCCTAGATACTTCCAATAATGTTCAATGAGTTGAATTTGAAAGCTGTTGTGCACCTCTCTCTCTCTGTAACATTGCAAACACATGATTTTTTAAGATAGTTTATGTGTTTCAAACAATTACATTGTTATTTATGATGGTCAAATTGTCTCATCTTTGACCAGTAGAAGCCTCTTAATGTTAACTCTTACGTCCTTTTGACAAGACCCCTCTAGCCACTAGTCTTTGATAACTTCCTTGCATTCTGGTCAGTCATCAACATAACCAGGCTCACCTTGTATATGTCCTCCCCCAGGCCTGGAATCAGCCATTCCTCCAAGAAACTTTGCTTCCTTTTTGTGAGGAATGGTATTTATAGATCACAATCTTGACATTTCAGTGGACAAAACTAAAAAATATGTAGCTTGAATTCTCACTGATATTTCCAATACAGATTAATATTATAAAATTTTTATTTAATGTGTTTGATTTTATATTGGTGACTTTTATCTTACATTGTAAATCTTAGCTCCTGATGACATTAACGTAAGTTCAGGAGTAAGATGGGACAGAGGGAGGCATTGTAAGGTGGGGGTGCAAGGAAACTTTTTGGGGTGATGGATATGTAGTAAAAGTCCACAGGTCTATAGATGTATCAAAACTTACCAAATTGTACACTTTAAATATGTACAGTTTATTCTGTATCAATTATACCTCAATATTTCATTAAATATTTTAAAAACAAAAATAAATTTCTAGGACCTGAAAAGCAAAACAATAGTATATTTTATCCAAAACTTTCCAGAAAAAGACTGAGATACTACATAATACAATAGAAGGTTTGAAGGACATAACCAAGCGAGTAATTCACAATTCCCTTCAGAAAACTAGTACAGGATTGTGGAACGTAAGTCGCAAAAATACTAACACACCCAAATTCAAAAGACAGGGATTTGCTTTGGCTGGGCCCCTTTCCCCGGTTCAGATCAACAGCATGCAGTGAGCAGGGCTGGATGAGAAACCATCATGCTATGCACACATCCGGTCCCAGATGTCAAAAACCGGGCACCCCCAGCCCAAATGTTATGCATCACTGACATGTTTGGTTTGGTCCTCAATGTTTGAATTAGTTGCCAACATTTAAAAATTCAGAGGTTTCTCCCACTAAATCTGGATTTTTTACCTTTTATTGAAATATCAAAAGATCTGGTAACATTTGAGCCCATGTTTCCAACCCGGCCATAGGCCAAGCACTCTGGTCAGCCACAGACCTCTGGGCTCTGTCTTCATATTGTTCTGTCCCTGGCAGCTCCACCCACTTACACTACCACTGCCACCCCCAAGTCCACAGACATTTGAGTTTGCAGTTCTTGCCCTAAGGCTGTAAATATTTTCTCTGAGCAGTGCTTTGTCTTGTTTTGATACTATTTATGGGCTTATCCCCCACATGAAAGTGAATTGTCCTTAATTAGAGGTGTAACTCTCACTCCAAAGGGTATGGAAATTTCCTAAGGAGGCAGTCAGTGGCAGCAAACAAGAAGCAGGACTTAGCCATACCTTTTTAGAGACAGACCAATAATAAAAACAAATCCTGAAAACCGGTCCTTGGGGCATTAGTTTACTCCAGTGAAGAAACTTCTGACATATATAATTTCCCTCCTGAAGATCCTACCCAGCCCTGGCCCCCTCAACTCCCCACACCACACAAATGTATACACAGCCCCTGCTTCCTCCCTAACCTTCTACTCAATTCTGCTAGGTCACTGAAATGGTAACAGGAGTTTCTGTCAACCTGCCTCCAGCTTAAGATAAAGGAAAATTTCTTATATAATTTTTTGGGGAAGAGGCAGGGTCTTGCTATGTTGCCCAGGCTGGTCTAGAACTCCTGGCCTCAAGCAATCCTCCCACCTCAGCCTCCCAAAGGGCTGGGATTACAGCCAAGAGCCATTGCACTGGCCCCTTTTACATTATTATTACTGAATAGAACCAAAAGAAAAAATGTTTTGAAATGTGTTTATATTATTAAGAAATTCCCAATTAACACAGTCCTCAATATTTCAGAATTTGTGATTATGGTTTGGTTTCAAGATTATCTTTTTACTCTCTAGACACAGTAGTCTCCTAAGAAAATTAATAGTGTAAACAAATGATTTGAAGTACCACAAAAGCATCTGTTTACAATCAGATAATTAATGTGCTAATTCTTATCTATTAAATTAAAGCAGGTCACCTAAGGACTTTTCTAAATAATACTTCATTAGCCTAATAATGAGTATATATAGTTGAAGTAATAAAATAGACATCTGTTTTAAAACATCCTTCAATTTAAGCGTTTTACTAAGTCAAACTAGTTTTCATACCTTAGGTTCAATTACTGAGGTTTTACACAACAAAATAAAACAACAAAAAAAATCCTCCATTGAAATATAAAACAAAACTTTCTGTTTTTACCTTTGACATTCTCCATTCCCAACCATCACCTATCTGCTGCGAATGTTTAATGAATTCTGCACAATAATGCTGGAATGTTTTTTCTCCAAAGACCTCATCTTCTTCCATGTTAAATAACTGCAATAAAAAAACTAAGTATTAGTATCAGATGTAGAATGAATATTGAAAGAAATTCTGCTAATTGACTAATTTATTTAAATAAACCAAAATTTGGGATGTAGAATGGAAAATAACCTCAGGGCCATTCCAAAAAGTATTTTTGTGTTTTCCATCTTTCTCACTCTTTCCCCATTTTTTTTTAGAGATGGGGTCTCTCTATGTTGCCCAGGCTAGAGTGCAGTGGCTATTCACAGGCGTGATCCCACTACTGATCAGCACGGGAGCCTTGACTCCCCATTTATTTGGAGGAAAATGTGATCAACATGAAAACCCAAAACCTAGTTTTGTAACAAATACATATCTATGTTTTTATAATGACAAGACTAATGTTGAATACAGTAGAAGTTCTGTTACATTTTAGCAGGCTGTATTTACTAAAAAGTTTAGTTTCTCTGTAAGTTTAGTTTCAAGAGCTTAATTTTTCCTACTTCTTCTAAGTTAATGCTCCCATACAACCTCCTCATAGCTTCCTTCTCTACCTCCTACTTTAGCACCTATTTTAATAGTCTAACAGTGATTAGTGTAGCGAAGCTTTTCTTCACACTTTATTATAAAGTTCAACTCCCTAACAAATGATGTTTTAAAGCCTGAAATTGTTTTCCAAGGTATAAGGTTATCTTATAATAAATCACCTCATTAATTACCTACTTTATCAAATCTACAAATATGACATATCATGGAATATTCATATATTTGTAATTTAAGCCTGTCCAAAACGTGAAACATTATTCATAGAAAGAGAATTTTAGAGCAGGAAGGAAACACATAGATCATGTAGTTCAGGCCTCTCAATGAGAAAAGTCAGACCAAGTGAATTCCCACGTTCTCCTCATTAGGGATAAGCATCATCAGGACTATTGCTTATGTTGAACACTATGCTGAACACTTCACATCCCCATTTAATTCTCACACAACCCAAAGGGTGATTTCCATTCCTCAGATGAAAAAGAAAAAGTAATCTGCTCAAGAATAGAAACGAGAAAGGACTAAACTCCTGTTTGTCTACATGACCAATGATCTGTCTACACTAACTGGTTCCCAAACCAGTATTATTTCCAGATATTCAAATTTAGTATAACCTATGTAAGAGTGTTCATTCATCCAACAAATACATACGGAATATCTATTAAGTAATGGGCACTGTGCATGGGTAAAATTAGGTATACAAAAATGAAAAGATATATAGTCTTTACCTTGTAAGAGCTCATATTCTAACAAAGGGAGATAAGCAATACAAACTCTTTTAACCAACCTCCATTCAACCAACTTGCCAGATTAATCAACACAACGTCCAGTCCTTCTGTAAAACACTGATGTCTACAGCATGTGGACCATGAAGCACCTCTGCTCCCATCAGTTGACTGTACATTCACAAACCACATCCTTGTATCAAAAATATATACTTTGATTAAATGTTAAACCAAGTCAATAAAGTATAAGTAAAAAATAAAGATTACTGTTGTATCTATGAATGAATGCCCTAGAAAGACTCAATAAAGGTGAGTCTCTGTAAGAAAAACAAACTGCTATTGAACTAGGTATGGCCAATGCAACTGAAAAGATGGTGAGGAATGGGAAATAGGGGAGAGAAAAGATTCAAACAGATTCCCAGCTTTCTGCCTTTAGGTGATGGTACACTGACTGAGACAGAGAACCGTGGAGGAAGAGCAGGTTTGGGGAGAGAGATGGCCTTAGTTTGGCCACACTGAGTTTGAGTTTCAAACACCCAAGTGAAGGGATTCAGCAGGCATTTTGAGGTGAGTTTTGAACTCAAAAGCAAGAAAAATCTGAACTGGAAATGTTGATTCTAAATGAGTATTACATACATAGTAACAGAACCCATTCATCACTCAGAGAGAGGATGCATTAACAGAAGAGGAAGACAAGATTGAAATGGAGCAGCCAGATAAATAGTTTTCCAACTGTATGATGATCCTGACATTTACTGAGAGATACTAAATTTTAAAAATTGACTTTAATTCATAAAGAATGCTAATACATTTAGGAATATTTTTTAAATTCCAACAAACTCTTACTTAATAACAAAATTGAGCTAAGAAAAAACATTCCATTCCCTAAGCCCTCCAGTTACTTGAGGTTTACTGAACTATTGAAAATGTCAGTTGAAACATAAAATTTCACTCAATTGCCATAGTTTATCTAATTAACAGTACTGTGCTACTAGCAAGATGACTGAACATGAAAACACTAATTAATATTTGGTTGAATACTTTTCAAATTATCTAAGGACTGGGCTTTGCTGAAGGATGTTACATACAATAATACAAACACTTATGGCTTGATTACAAAATTAGGAACTATATTATATTAAAAAGATATCCATCTCAACTAGAATCATCATAATGAAATATCGTGGAATAATTATTATTCCTTTGCTCAAGAATATTTCAACTCAAAAATGCAAATATAATTCAATCAACATTTTTATACATACTCTTCAAGTTGTAATATTTTCTGGTCCTCTACCAAGTTCATACATTAGTAGAGGCAGAAATTAGAATCTCAGAACTTCCTATTATGAGATGGCTGAAAATACGGTCAAAAACAGAAATAACCACAACTGTGGCTTATTAAGCAATAATGGCAAGAATAATCCTTATTTTGCAAATGAAAAACCTTAGACAGGTGAACTGCCTGTTTCCAGACATAAATTATCTTAAACTAAATTCAGACTAGAAGTGACAACAGAACATAGGTGAACTCTCGGTAAAAAGATGAATTTCAATTCTCATCTCATCCTAAACAATGAACCTCTCATTTCTAATTATAAACTGAAGTCAGAAGTGAGTCAGAGCGCCTCGTGTCATAAAGTATAAGTTGTTAATACATCTATTTTGCTTGAGTATTACTCTGGCTCAACAACTGTTTGATTTTTTTTTTAATGCTCAATCAAAACCTTTTTTTTAATGGCTTCATCAGAGACTAAAGATTGGAAATATAGACTAATTTTCCCCACCAAGTGAGAGAAGTCTTTCCAAACTATAAGTTAGCTCTCAGACTACACAGTGTGAAGAAGCTTATTCTCCTACTGTTCAAATATATCTTTTCAGAAAAGCAGCCCCAGTGAATTCTAACACTGTGTATAATCATTGTTCAAATGATTCTTTTTAATTAAAAATAATTTTTCCCTACCACTCTCCATATTTTTATGTGATTTTTAATCTAATGTGTATGGAACTAATTTTTTGTGTTTTTTTGGTCAGAGACATTTCTTTTGATGAACCTGTAAATCATTGTGTATCAGAGTCATAATGAGACTAAAACACTATTAGAAATACAACTAAATTTCCTGGAACTTAAGATCGTTTACAAAAATGTGATTATCACAGAACATGCTCTGCATATATTTAAACACTAAAAATCAGTTTTGACTAATAAAAGTAGGCTACTTCCTCTATACTTGTCCCTCCTCGCAACAATTTCACATTATTTATAACTCTAAATATAGACTTTCCTTAAAAAACATGTAATAACTAGCTAGGAGATACAAATGTCAACCCATTACCTTTATGGCAATTTGGCTTGAATTCATTTACATTAATCACTTACCTATCAAGGTCCTTGGACAGTGATCCTCAAATTTCAGAGAGCAAGGAAGCGCCCAAGGTACAAATTTAAACGTGAAATCTTAGGCCCTGGCCAGAAAGATTACCTGATTCTGAACCCCTCAAAATAAACACTTTTAATTACCACCAGGGATACTTTTGATGAAGAATCATGCTAGAAAACTTAGACAAAAGATGGATCATTTTGATAGTTAGTGAAAGACCTGGATTTCAAGGAATTTGGCAGCCTGGATGGGGCACAGAAGGCACAGCCCTGGGCAATCCAATGTATAGCACAGGAAAGCATCAAAAGAGAGAAAGTCATGACAGCAGCTGACCAGCCGGACTCAGTTTTGCCTCCTTGCCTTCCCATTGAAATACATGTCCCAAATCAAAGTTTAAATGAGAGGCAACATTGTACATGGACTGGAAACAAGGGGTCTCTACTGGTTAGCTGGTGCTTGCTCTGACCTCTGCAGCACTAGGCCCAGTTAGGAAAAGGGTAAGAAGGCATTTCACTCTCCCCCATTCTGTATTCCCTTGAAAGAGATCCTGAGTCCTGATCTGCCTTTTCCCTACTGGTTTGTAGTGCCCATTGGTAATTCTCTTTCAAGGCAGTTCTCTCCCAATAATGCAGTAAGCATGGCCAGAAGTGGAAGGAAAAGCCATGTGGTGCACTGAATACCGTGACAGGTAGCTGCAGCAACAGAATAAGCCCTTAAACTAGTATTCTAACCACAGACAGCCAAGAAAACCTCAAAAAACTCTAAATTATTTCAAGTCACACAAAAGTACTCCCCTCGTTATAGTCACAGGATGAAAAATTTAAACATTGGGAAAGGAAGACCTCTCCTGAGTACAGAAAAAGACCTGTTCTTCCTAAATTTGATTGTACCCATCTGCCTGCTATCCAACCTAACGCTGAGAGAAGATTCCTCCAGTCGGGAGGGAAATGAAGGAGTGTTGCTCACCAGTCAACACTGTCCCTACACAAGTCCCTCTTCTGTCAAGGTAAAGAAACCAAAAACATCAGTAACAGCATAACCCCAGGACTAATAGGAAGCTCTAGCATAAGGAAAGAGGAGCACAGACCTAAAGAGGAAGAGGGAAAACTTGCTGTTTTTTGTAATGAATGGGCTTTTACACTGGGAATCAGGAAAAAAACTGAGAAATTATCTACTCTATGTTCCCAATTAAAAAAGAAAAAGAAAAGGCCGGGCGCGGTGGCTCACGCCTGTAATTCTAGCAATCTGGGAGGCCGAGGCAGGCGGACTGCTTGAGCTCAGGAGTTCGAGACCAGCCTGAGCAAGAGCGAGACACTGTCTCTACTAAAAATACAAAGAAATTAATCGGACAACAAAATACATGGAAAAAATCAGCCGGGCA